CTCGTAGAGATCTCTCTCCTTCTCTCTCTCTCTCTCTCACTCTCTCTCTCTCTCTCTCTCTCTCTGCTCTCTCTCTCTCTCTCTCTCTCTCTCTCTCTCTCTCTCTCTATATATATATATATATATATATATATATCCATGAAGAAAGGCTTCTTTAAACTATTATCATTAACACGATCTGTTTATTGACCGTATCTTAAGTGCATCATAACAAGTATAATCAGTGTTGGTGTATTTCCGATCATATCTACACCTTCGTAGATTATCATTAGACATACTCCCGGATACACCTCAAGCGGCTTTACACGCTTTATATGCACAGACGATTATCAAAAATTAAATTTATCACGGTAATGCCGGATCCGGCCCCCACTAGTATACCTACTTATCCAGCTATCTATCTACCTATACTTACCTAACTACTATACCCACCTACCTGCATCAAAGTAGGTACGTACGCACGTGCTTCCCTACTTACGCTGAGAGGGTCTATGTCCCCTAGGGTACTATCGGAGAGTACCCTGGGGGACATAGACCCTATGAGTATGAGCCCTACTTACCTAGGGATTAAATTTCAGAACCGGAGAACGGGAGCAGCGGGAGGAGTGAGAAAGACGCGAGATTTGGGAGGGAGGGGGGGAGAAAGATAACGAGGAGGGAGCAGAGGAGGAGGCAAATCTCCATAAAGCTTCCACTCTCACTTATTAGATCACGATATGTAAGGGCAGGATCCGGAACATTAGCGACAGAGAGATGTCACGAAAAGCATGTATGCACCCACTGGTCTCACGAAAAATTTGCCACAAAATAAGAAAGTTACGAAAGAAGTGCTAGGGTAGGTGCATGGGATGACACTACATAACCAAGGCTATGGAAGGATGAAGGAGTGAAGAGCAGGATCTCTAAGATGGATATGAGGGAATGCAAAAGGAGCAGGATGAAGAAGAGGAGGCAGAGGAAGAGGAGGAGGAGGAAGAGAAGGAGGAGGAGGAGGAGAAGGAGGAGGAAGAGGATAAGGGAGAGAAAAATGAGAAGGAAGTGAAGGAGGGGAGAAAAAGGAGAAAGAAGAGGAGCATGGGGAGGAGGAGGAGGAGGAGGAGGAGAAAAGAAGAGTAAATTCATCCTCACATATATAATATAGAAATTTTAGTAGTGTAGGAGGATATAGTTATGGTTGGAGGGTGGGGATTACCACTATGTATATACGAGGCCCCTACATTTACACCATTTTTGTAAATAGTATTGTAATAATATTTCATTAGTAATCTGTTATTTAATCCAATTTTGTAGTCGTTTGCATTCGTATTCATTGCAATTTTGTAATTAGACAACAGCAATTGAAACGAGTCTTTTAGTCTACCTTTGGTCCTTTTTCTTAAGAAATGTGTTGGCCATATAGCTTTACAATACTATACCTACATTGACTACCACAATACACACGTATGTGTTCTACACTGAAAAATCCAACTACAAATACACCAGTGAGTGGCAGTATTGTGTTAAACTTCTTGGCCACGTGACGAAATACTACGTTATATATTTTGCTACAATCATAAGCTCAGATCTATCACATCACAGGGACATATACATACAACACTAGTAATAGTTGATAATTTCACGTAAAACCATAACCCCAACTTTCAAACAAATTCTTTATGTTCATGCTTCTGAAGGAAGTGTCACAGCTCAGCTTATTAGTCTCCCACCTCTCCGCTTGTGGCTGCATCTGAGACAGAATCACCAGTTCCTCGTTTGCGGTAGGCATCTTTAAACTCTGATCCTAGCATCTCAAGATCCTTATTGTCGCGTAAGACGCCCTGTAAACAAATTATGCAGCATTTTTTAAATCGCTTAGTACTAATCAAATAGGAACTGCTAGTCCCAGTTCGTTTTTATTCATTAGTCAAGTATAACAGTTATTTATACAACCATATGCTTTATGGAATACTGCAGATCATTAAAAATTATACTGCTGTAGTTGGCATATTCAAATGCCTCTTTGGATGTTTCCGTAAGAAAATGTGATGGTGTAAATGTGGCTCATAGGGTCTATGTCCCCCAGGGTACTGCCGGAACGTACCCTGGGTATGGTCCGGTATACCGGAACGTACCCTGGGTATGGTCCGGTATACCGGAACGTACCCTGGTAACTATCTGATAGGGTTTGGGTTAGGGTTAGTGTTAGGGTTAGGGAGTAGGCGTAGGCGACTCCCTAGACTCGTTAGTGGAGTAGGCGAGGTACGGTCCGGCATATTAGATAGTACCAGCAGAGCATATAAATCACGTTGATTTATATATGCTCTGGTACCAGGGTACATTCCGGTATACCGGACTGTACCCAGGGTACGTTCCGGTATACCGGACTGTACCCAGGGTACGTTCCGGCAGTACCCTGGGGGACATAGACCCTCTCAGCGTAAATGTGTTATGATGGAATAAGCAACTTTTAAGCGTGACAGCCACATCATTATGGTATTTAATATATTATAGTTGTATGTAGTAGTACAATATACATCACCACTTTACTTAGGCAACAGCATACTGTGATCCCACTATAGTGTTGTGAACAACCATTTTTTATGTGGTCTATTTTATACCCGATTCTTAAAATATCAATCTTAAACATGCATCAATAGTTATTTTGTGCCACAATTTTAAATTTCATTGGTGCTGGTCCTATATCTTTTGAAGGTAAAAAATAAATCCCAGACATGCCCCTTTGCTTTCCTTGTCCTTTAACCTATGCCTTCAGTTATGCACCTGGCCTATCTTTTTGGATTCCCTTTACAAACCGAATATCAATGTCATGGATAACTTTAACTGTTTAAATTTTGTGGTACTATTAATTTTTAAAGGTAGCCGGACACACTTTGCATTTCTTTAGCCAATCTGAATAAGTCAGAAGAATTAAAAACTAGGATTGTGCAATATCATACCTTGGGAAGGAAGCCAAGTAGCTTTGATGCATGCTCTCTGAGTAGGCGCTGTCTCTCCTGCTCTATGATCTGTTTGCGCAGCAACTCCAACCGCTGCTCTTCCTTTCTTTCAGCTAGTATCCTCTCCTGCAAGTAATAAAAGTAGTAGATAATGTCTTTTACATAGGCTTGATGTTATGGGTCAAATTATATTGAGGAAGGCAATCAAACCTGGTGGGTTGATGTCTGGCTGCACATTTATTGACAATATTTGAAAACGTAATTTTACGAGTTTACTTTTTCTTTTGAATGTTATTGTAAAGGCAAGTTCATCTTCCATATCTCTAATGTAATTAGCATTAACTGTCAATTTTTTTAGAGAACTTCCATTACACGAGTATTCCTAATTAAGGGCCGTACTATATCTATTTCTGTACTATATCCATTTCTGTATAGAAACCGATATAGTACAGGTGAGAACGGGACCTCCTGTTGTTAGGCCCATACCTTCTGGGCTGCCATCTCCGCCCGTCGTTCCTCGATGATATTCTCTACAGCGCGCCGATGCTCCAGCTGTTTCATACGCCGCCGCTGAGCATTCATCTGTTCCAGTCGATCGTCGTCCGCAAACTTTGCCAGCATCTGCAATAAGGAAAAACATCTGGATTGATAGCCTAACAATTTTAACATTCAGGGGGGGGGGCGTTGTCAGAAACATCGTAAAGTTAATGCTAAGGCTATAATGTTAAGACTAATTATTCTGACAAATTTCTGACAACCGGCCCCAGTTCTGTAATCATCAACAATAGGTGGCGCTGCCTGTTAGGAGTCGGAGTCACCAAACGTAACAGACCTAGGGTGTCAATTCCCCCCGGGCGTAGAGGGAGGGTGCCGCTACGTGGCAGCACTATAGTCACTTCGTACACTTCCGTCATTCCACAGTCTGACTCTGTGATACTTCCATGCTAGACATGGCCTTATTTCCCTAAACCCTAACACTAGTGCTGCCACGTAGCGGCACCCTCCCTCTACGCCCGGGGGAAATTGACACCGTAGACCTAACGGGTATAAACTCGGTGGAATATAAGTGTGTTATCTGCATCTAACTGATGTTGTCACTGCATTAGTAAATTCTACAAGATCACAGTAACAATTAGCCTGAGTTTTTTAATAATTAGTTTTGATAGAGTGTACTGTACACACAGGCCTGGACTTTAGGTTGATGTGGCATCGTGATTGTCTCGAGTTGAATCTTAACAGGGACCTGCAAAAAAGCAAGGACTTGCCTGGTTGCGGAATTCCTCCTCCTCCTCCCGTTCAGCTTCGAGTCTGCGTGCCTTCGCTTCCAGCTGGTGTTGATATTCCTTCTGCAGATCCACTCGTAGCCGAAGCCTTTTCTCCAGCTCTGCTTTCTCTTGCTGCCTCTCAAATTCGTACTGCTCCTCCATGTACAGCTCATTGCGAACTCTCTCCATCTCATCGTGCTCTGTTTTTTTGTGAACAATTTGTTCGGACAGCTAAAAAGCCAGAGAATGAGAAACTTGAGCAGAGCTCTGTATATGTCTACAAAAAACTCACGTAGTTTTCGAAGTCACGTACGACTGCACCACCATTGTAAACGCGAATGTAATGGCTTGTAATGGCTACCAAAAATGGATTGTTTCTTAAACTATTAAACTTTTAAAATTCAATAAAGGTGACTAAGTCCCCGTGATACCAGATTAAATAACTTGTGGAATAATCCTCTATGAAGGTGAAACGTTACGAGGGGACAATAATTACCAACGCTTGGACTTGCGACATCTTTTCGCTGCGCTCGAGCTTTTCTCTTCTGCGTTCGTCCTCGCGTTTTTCTTGAACATGAGCAAATTCCAGAATTCTTCTATTCTCTTCCTCCATTTCGGTTTGTTCTTGTTGCTTCCACTCTTCTCTCTTCTGCCGGAATTCAACTATGAATTCTTGCATGGCGTTCTGCTTTCTCATTCTCTCCTCCAATTCTCTATGGAAAATTAAGAGTAAAATGCTAAACACTAATTCATGTATCAAATCATAGTGCTATTTGTTGCAGATTATTAATAAATTCCGAGATAAATTTTAACACAGACTGACGTGCAGACCGACAGACAGAGAGATGGACAGACAGAGAGATGGACAGACAGAGAGACAGACATATACATGCATGCATGCATGCATACATACATACGTACGTGTGTGCGTGCGTGCGTGCGTGCGCGCGCGTGCGCACGCACGCACGCACACACACACACACACACACACACACACACACACATACAGACAAGACAGACAGACAGACAGACAGACAGACAGATGTGAAGACAGAAATACAAACAGACAGGTAGCTCGTGCAATAATAGCTATGCACAAACTATAGTAGATTTAAGAATTTATACGTACTTCTGATCCTCCTCATAAATTTTTTTGACAATTTCATCTATCATAAGTTTTTCTTTAAGGAATTCTTCATATGCCTCCTGCTTCTTGCACTCTTGCTCTTCCAGTTGCTTCTCTATGTCCTGAATAACATAAGTAGCATTATGCTAGTTAATTTATATACCTCATAACTTACGTGGTCTACTCTACAAGATGGTGGTGGCAGCAGCCGTGTGCGTGCATGGGCGTGTTCGTGCGTGTGTGTGAGTGCGTGCGTGCGTGTGCGGGTGCGTGCGGGCATACGTACGCCTGTGTCTACATGTGCATACGAGCGTGCTGCATCTGTGCATGCATGGCTCTTCTCCGGTCATGCAGCAAATTGGTAACAGCTCCGAAGGTTGGTTCCCTTCTAAATCTCCTGCTCGAAATAACTTATTAATAATTTTTAAAAGCTCTAATTTTATGCGGTGCAGTTAATGAGATGATTTTAAAAAAAGGTTATGGAATACATGTATGTAACTTGATTGTAATACTATGTAAGTGTACATAGACTTGTAGTAACCTTATTGACACACATCTAATAATATTCAGCACTTATGAATAACACATTGAAGTACTCGTTATCCCTTTACTTACCTGCTGATATTTCACCATTTCACGGTAACGTTGTTCCTCTTTGATTCTTGCATCATCTTCTTCCTGCTTAGCTTCTTCTTGCAGATGCTTTGCAACTTCAGCATTTTGTTGATTATATTCTTCTTTAGCAAGTTCTCGTTCTGCAATCTGGGCAGCTAATGTCTTGTTCATATAGCCTGACTTGAGCTTAGCCTCCAACTCTCTTAACTCTAAGCTGTAAAAATGCAGAGCCATATTATTGCAAAGGCTTAAAAAATAATGCTTAATTTGTTTACAGTATGTAACTCCTCTATTCCTAACCATGGAATTCCTATTCATGGATTTTGAGTAGGATATTTGTATACCATTTCTCCAACCATGGGCCAGGTTTTAATTCTCCACGGTTTTTATGCATAGAAGAATTCCTCTATACTTTATTTCTCTACGATTTCATTATACTTACGTGCAATCAACTAATCCTAATACGGCCCGTGATACGTCGTCTTTATAAAAGTTTCCGTATTCCTATTATCCGTTTGCACCTAGCATATAACCTCCTATTAGTTGGTTCGCCAGTCGTTTTTTTATCCCCGTTCACACAAGTCAGACGTGAATAAAAATTACATTAGCTGAAAATGGTCCTAAGAACGAACCAGAGGTACCCATACACCCTATGGTTGTTGTAGTATTATAGTTCTATAAACAGCCAATTTCTCAGTTCCCTATATTGATGTCAGTGTGCACTGATTCAGATTTCGTTAGCAGCTACCATGCATGTTTTCTTTTTCTTTTTTTCAGATGTCAGCTTAGAGGCTTCTCGTATTTTGGTAGACTATAGTAAATAAAGGCCACGATGTGTGACATATTCTTGTGTTGTTTTTCATTGACTACACAAGTTTTAATTGGGATGGTCGTTTTTTAGGTGTTCTGCAGACCACGCACAGCATACACATGCATGCATACACGTACGCACATAAACACACACACACACACGCAGGCACGAAAGCATGCATGCACTTACACACGCACAGATTATTATAAGGAAAAAGTATTCGAAAAACTACACACCTGTTCTCGCGAATTTGTTGTCTGAGCCTTTCCTCTCGCATCTCATGAAGTTTGAGCTTCTCGATTTCCTTTGCCATCCTTTCTTGTTGCTCTCGCTGTTGCTGCTTGTATTCCTGCTCTCTCTTTGCCTGCATAAATTACTTAACATGATTCCGTAATTCACAGTAATGTATTCACTGTGTCATTACAGGGTATAAAAATGCGGGGTTGTGAAGGTATACCTAAATGGAAAGATAAAATAATGCTATTTTCCATTAAACAGCTGACTGTCCATGTTATTACACTATGTAAGATGTCGGTTAACAGCCGTCTGCTGAACTAGCTACAAAACAACAATACTAAGAATGCACAGTCAATATGCAAAATCGGCTTATCGGTGCATTTGCTTATTGCAAAACAAACGCATGAATTACCTGTAACAGGCTTTCCTCCAATTCCTGTTCCCTTTGCTCTTGTTGCAATCTTCTCACAAACCTCTTGCTTTCTACTTTATCTTCACTGGCTAAATTGGCCTCCAATACTCTTTCCTATTGAACATCAAGTATATATACACAGTGTGTTGTGCAGCAAACATCATGGTCAGACATATGCCATTTTACCACAGATGTCAAACAATGAAGTGCTCCAGGTTTATCATGAAATCAGTTTTAATATTAATTTATTAATTTATTCATGGTATTCAAGAATAATGATATAATTACCAGTGTGAAACATGCAAGAACAATTAATATATTCACGAGCTTACGAAAATATTGATATTTAATAAATTATACAAAATATATATACTGGCAATTAACAAAAATTACAATTGACAAAAAATCTTACCTGGTTCAAACGCTTTAGATGATCTTCCCTCATTTCTTCACGATGACGATAGTTCGCCCTCATGCGCTCTTGCTGATAATGTGTGAGGACCTTTGTCCGCCTCATAGTTAAGGATATATCAGTCACTGATACAAATGCTGAATACCTAAGCAGAGAAAGGTACAGGGCCTTATATACGGCTATACTGTTAGTACTTGTACTAGACTACTAGTAGTGCCACTATTGAACAATGAATCGCAGCTGTGGCAAGCATGAAATCTAGTAGCCAAATGGGAATTACGATTTAAGCATTCAGTGACTGTCAGTGTCAGTAATACTCTACGTAAAAAAAGTAATGTATTCGAGAGAAAACAATTTTGTTGCCAAATTAATTCTGTAATGCGATTCATGACTGTTGTTCCATGCACTTCCAGAATAAGCCTAGATAACTGCATGGTGATCGATGTGTCCCTACATTTTGGAAAAATGACATATCGGTAAGTAATTCCCCGATCTCCCTCTAATACAAGCACAGTGATGAATGCAAGAAAACATTGGTCATCTTATGAAGTTATGTATTACTATTAACTATTTAATTATATAACACAAGAAAAGGGACTTTGAAATAAGAATTAGCATCCTGGACACATCATGCATGCTACAGTTAAGTGTAAAATGCTAAGTGTAAAAATACCATAGAAATTGAATAGGCCTACCAATTACCATCAACTACCAATTACTAGATCATAGACTAGCTAGTACTACACACTACAGACTAGTCTCTACACACTGTCACTAGGGCTGATAGGGTCTATGTCCCCCAGGGTACTATCGGAGAGTACCCTGGGTACGGTTCGATATATCGGAAAGTACTTCGGGGTACTATACGATATGTCGCTGCATACCCTGCATTGTCCCACCGTACCCTGACTTGTAACCGATGTATTTCCGATGTTGTAAAACTAAAATATAAAAGCTAGCTCTTCGTTTAAAAAAAAAGAAAAAGAAAAATATAGTCAAACATAGCATACATTTTTATTGGATTGCGATGTTTTGAGGTTTCTTCTATGTGATGTGGTAACTTGACAGAGTGTATGTATAGTATTACGACATCAGTTGGCTGAAAGTCAGGGTATGGTGGGACAATGCAGGGTACGCAGCGACATATCGTATAGTACCCTGAGGTACTTTCCAAATTATCGAACCGTACCCAGGGTACCCTCTGATACGGCAATAGACCGATAGTACCCTGGGGGACATAGATGATAGACCCTATCAGCGTCACTAGGGCTGATAGGATCTATGTCCCCCAGGGTACTATCAAAGGGTATACCCTGGGTACGGTTCGATATATCGGAAAGTACCTCGGGGTACTATACGATATGTCGCTGCGTACCCTGCATTGTCCCACCGTACCCTGACTTGTAATTCCAATGTATTGCCGATGTTGTAAAACTAAAATATAAAAGCTAGCTCTTCGTTTAAAAAAACGCAGAGGCTATGGGTACGGCAACCGTATCTTAATGTCTCGAGGCTACGGGTACGCAAGTCACACTACGCATGCGCTGCAGCCGTATCTTAATGTCTCGAGGCTACGGGTACGGCAGTCACACTACGCATGCGCTGCAGCCGTATCTTAATGTCTCGAGGCTACGGGTACGGCAGTCCCATACACAAGTACAAACAGTCACCCTATCCCTATCCCTAACCCTAACCCTACCCCTAACCCAACCCTAACATTAACTATAAACCGACTCGGCTATCTTATATACGCGTGTCATGGTACCAAATTAATCTATGGTGTATAACCTTTGGCTTTCAATATTTTGCATCTGAACTGACAATCAATCCCAACCAACTGGTGTAGGCTAGCTCACTGGCAGCAAGAACCAGTCCGCTGCAGCTACAGCACACACACGGCCATTGTCTATCGAACAACAGCCGTGTGTTATAAAAAACCAATCATTTAACAAGTGAATAGACGATTGAAAGATGAATGTAATACATCATATCATAGGCAAGGTAAAAGCCATTAGAAGGAACGGTAAGGTTGTTTTTCGCGGCCAATGAGCGCGTACGGGCCCGCATTCTCGAGCGGCATTGCATTTTTGCATGCGATCTCAACGAAGATTCCAACTGATACCCCGTTCTGTCCCAATATACACCCTCTTACCAAAATATAAAAAAAGGTTAAACTGAGCAGAATT